CTTAACTTAAATGTTGTTTCTTCATTACTGTAGCTATTTTTTTCTTTTTTCATTCAGGTTGGGCTGTTGGGCGGTAACTTTTGGCCGAATGGCTGGGAAAGCTACCAGGCATTCCGACCGGTGGCATTTCTGCCATCTCGCTTGGAGCTCATCTTTATCATCAACCATTTTCACGCACACAATGATCATTTTGGGGTAGTGCCACCACAAAATGAGACTTCTGAGTTTGCAGAATTGCACTCTGCTTCCAGTCTTTCTGCTGTTCCTGCTTATCGCTCAACTGCACTGCTCACATGGAACACACTGGACACGGACAGCTGGAACACTTCCTGGCGATCTCGTCTGCTGACACACGCCCAACCGGTGGTGTACACGGGAATGTTTGAGATGAATGGCATTGTCTATGCCATTGGCGAGACAAGACCGGTGGCAGCTAGTGAAGGAAGAGGATCAAAGAGAATTGGCAAAATGTACCGGTACTACGTCACCAAAGATGGTGGACGTGATCTTCGGGAAGCGGTATGATTTGTAATAAAAAAGTTTTTACTTTAATTTTAATATTTTGTTTTTATTAAAGGATCAAAATGTTAAAGATTTTTTTGGCTGTCCAAAAAGAAAAAACAAGGAAAATGATCAAATGGCTGTTTTGCCGTTCAGCAAAACTACAGCAACTAGTGTTGTTTCTCCATTAAGTGTTTCACCAAAAACATCAAACACAGCAGCAACCACAACATCTACACCAAACACAGTTTTGTGGCCATCAACAAATGTTGAGTTAGAAAATCGAAATGACAAGCAGTTGGCAAATAAAATTTCTTTTGATGAATCAGCATTAAGTGAAACGACAAATGGGCAACCAGAAAACCAACTTAAGTCAACCAGTGTTCTTCTTGCCAGTCCTTCGGACACTTCAAATCAAATTTACTCGTCTGTTTTTCTGAAGAACTCAAAAGCAAAAATACTGCCAATTGGCTCAAATGTCTCTCATCATCTACTAACTCCACTCTTGGCTAGCGCTTCAGCACCAGGAGTAGCTTTGCGAGATAGCGATTCTATTTTGTTGATCATCTTTATTGGCATTGTAGTCAGTGCCTGTGTGGCGACATTCATCCTTGCATTTCTCACAATCATAGGTAAGTTTTAGAAGTTATTGTAAACATTTATTACATATTTTGTTAATTAATCAATTTTTTTAGGTCGCAAAAAAGCACCGCCTCGTTTTGATAGAGTTGGCATTGAACAAACCATTCCAAGACCAACAATTATTGACTTAGATTATAATCCTCAAAAAAGTTCCTTCATTTCGTCGACTGTCATTAATCCAATGACTCGTTATGACTCGATGAACAGCATTAACGAAATTTATTCACAAATTAGCAAGCCACTAGAAAGAAACAGTGGTGCACATATGTTTTTAGGAAACCATCACCGTTCAAATTGCCATCACTATCACCTACATCAAAAACGCCAACAAACGCCTAAAAACAAAAAAAGCAAAGACCTAGTAATACCTAGTAATAATACATATCTCACTGCTAACCGTCCTAATGAAGTTAGTAGAAGTTACATTGCCACTGCTGCAAACAACAAAAGTGCTTTATATCCTTTACCTTATCCTTATGCTAAATCAAACAACACATCCCAATCACCACATTCTGCTAATCATCAAAAAATTATGTCTAGTCGAATCAATGGAAGAATTTAAATTCAGCACATTAATGTTTCAAGTAATAATTCCATCATTCATGCACAAACTTTTAAAACATCAGACAATTCTAAATTATTTTAAATTTTTATTGCAGTGCTGTAACATAAAATTTTTATAGTTTTTATTCAAAAACATGTAATTTAAAGTTTAAATTATTTTTGTAAAAATATTTTAAAGCAGAATTATTGTGTAAATAAAACCTCAAAAATAAATGTTTATTCAGGTTTTTTGTGGAAAACGTCACACTCTTGTCTAATTTTTTCAAGTTTGGCAGTCGAATTTGAGCCGGTCAACTCCCAAAGTTGCCAGTAAGCACTGCAAGACTGCAGTCTTGGCAAATGATTCTGCTCGTCAAAGTGCCCACCAAGAAGGTAAGTTTTGCCTTTTTCCAAGTAAACGCCACAAGCAGCAGAATCTTTGTTGGTTTCAATTGTTGAAAACTGCTGCAATTTGTGTGCCGCTTTACCGTAGGACAAGTCAGACAAAATTTCAAACGAGTAGAACTTGCTTGCCTCAATTACATTCACGTCTGAAAAAACAATATTAATAATGAGGTTTATAATTCAGAGGTTCATAAAGTGTCACAACTAACCGGTGATTTTGATAAGACCAACATACTCAGTTCGGCAGTAACCTGGATCGGCTAAAACTCGACATTTGCAAGCGCTCACTGATTGGCCAGACCAGAACAGGGTGACAGCCAAAAAGGATACTAAAGTAAACAATTTTGAAAACATTTTTGGTTTGATTAGTAAAAAAATCAATTATTGTTGTTGTTTGTTGACTCTTTGCCATTTGTATTTATACACAATATTTTCAGACTAGAGCACCACGCATTGATTTAAAGAGCTGTGTACATCAGAAATGTGACAAGAAAACACTCTTGATGGTGGCAGTAGTGATGGTGGTGGTCGACGCAGATAAATCTAATCAATTTGGGTTTTAAAAAGCACAAAGTTACACAAAGTGTTGCCTTGTATTGGCTTGGTAATGATGGTGTGACAAACACTTATCTCAATAAAAAGTGATTGGGGAAATCAGCAATGGTACATGACAGCCTTTTTTCTCTGCTGATTATCGTTTTATTATACTGAAAGAATGACAGTTGAAAATGCGTGTTTACAATGCATGTCCTCCATTTTTGTGAAATTTGTCACATTCAGCTTTGTACAGAGCCAACTTTTTAGCCGACTCTTCGCCCTTAAGGGTCCACTCCTCAATGTAGGCGTGGCAGGTGAAAATGTACGGCAGGTGCGTCTTGGCGTCAAACTGACCGCCAATTAGATAGGTAGTGCCCACTGAGAGCTCAGCGCCACAGGTGGCAGTTGACTGGGCAGTATTGATGTAGTGCACTCCACGGAGGGTGTCCTGGGTCGTTGAGTTGGTGAGGTCTTCCAGCAGCTCAAAACCGTAGTGCTTCTGGTGGTGTACAAGGTCGATGTTCAGGCCTTAAACGTTTAAACGGTGTTAGTTAGCATTGTCAAATCAAAAGCTTTTAAATGTTCATTTTACCTGTGATTTTAACAAGGCCAAGATAGGCTGTGCGACAATACGCTGGCTTAGGCAGAGGAAGGCATTTGCAAGAGTGCACCGAAGAAAGGCTGGAGAAAAGGGCCATCAAGACCAAAGTGAGAGCAATAAGTGCGCGAACCATTTTGAGTTTGTTGTTGAATGTTTGGTGCTGATGCAGTTGCTGATGATGAAGTGTCAGTTGAAGCAATTACCGGTTTTATATACTAAATTAGTTTTTGTTTAAAATAGAAAACAATTGTAATTAGTATTAGTAAAAATGGTGATAAAGTGACTACTAAGACAGGGGGCAACAGCACGAGGTCCTCTTAGCGACGATATCGTTCAGGTGGAGACCGATGTCAATGAGGGGGTTAAATAATATTTATTTTAAAAAATAAAGATTGACATGAGTTTCTAAAAATAGTGTAAAATATAGAAACTTTTAGTTTAAAATGCTTTTAGATGTGTTTAATTATTTAGTTTAGTGCAAATTCAGTATTATACCAAAAAGTGTTTCTATTGAAGTTGAAAACGTTGCATGTTTAATATAACTTTTTCAAATAAAACTCTTCTCATTATTTTACAAACATAAATTTTTATTGATCTTACAATTGAACAATTTGATTACTAGAAAATTTAAAACACACATTTTTAACAATTTTGTAAGTTTAGTTTTTGTTTGATTTTATTTATAACAAAATATCTTGAAAAACAATTTTTAATTTATTGTTTTAAAAACAATAAATCTAACCAAAAATTCAGTTAATTTGACTTGTGTCCACATTTGTTCTTCATTTCTTCCAGTTTAGTATCGGACTCAGCTCCAGTGTACGGCCAGCTTTGAATGTACGACGTGCAAGGCGTAAAGACGGGCTGTTTGGTAGTAGTGTCCTCTTGAACTCCAATAATGTAGGTTCGGTTGACTGTGAGCATAGTTTGACATGAGGTGCCTGCCATTGGATCATCAATGCTGGCCGCTGAGGATAGACTTAAACGAGTTGTTTCTCCGAAATCAGTCAAATCTTTGATCAGCTCAAAGTGGTAGTGCTGGCGACGTTGACTCGCATCCATTGACGTGTCTGCATTTAAATAATTTTAATTGTTTTTAACAGTTGAAATATAGCCTGAACTGCGATTAATAACTTACTGGTAAACTTTACTAAACCAAGGTACTTGGTTCGACAGTAAATAGGCGTTGGCATTTTATCCGGAAGACATCGACATCCTTCGACAGTGTTCTGTGAAAACACTGCAAAACAGAGAACCACAGCAATGGAAATCAGGTGCCACATTTTGATTTAGAGTTTTTTTCAGCAATAGTAGTGAAAAAAAAATGTTTTTTGCTTATATAAGTTCAATAATATGTTTGCCACTTAGTATTATCGCAATCAAATGAGTTTGTGGAGGTCTAACAAAAAGATAAGATAACACAACAGATTTGTCGTTGCTAAAAATTAATTTGTTTTGATGTTGGTTTAGCAGTTGGTAGTATGTTTATTTGTCAATAAAAATACATTTTAAATTAAGTCAGTTTAAATTTTTCGTTATAGTTATTTTAATTATAAAGTTATAAAAATATTTGATAAATGCGTATTTATTGACGTACATCAGGAAATACTTTTTAAAGCTAAGCTGGATTTTTTACAAAAACAACAAAAATATTTTGATGCCCTGCACTTGCTATGATTATAAACTTGTTTGTGCAATGATTTCAGTTTTTTAACGGTGAGCAGGGCAAATAAATTACAAATTTTCATTTTTGCAAAGTTTCGGCATATGAATGGCATCAAGCTCTTGTCACAAGACTTTCAACCGTTTAGAAGACACTCTGGAAAAGTACATTCCTTGCAATGAACTAAAAAAAATAAAACAACTGTTATACGGAGAAAAAACTAAGTATGTTCGTTTTTATTGAATTTTTTAATAATTTAACACTGTTTTTAATTTGCGTAGATCAATACAATTTGATGAAAAACTGGTAACATTATCTAAAACACAAAATGTCGAGTTGCGTGGTTTTAAGTTTGCTTGCGCTAAAGAACATACTCGAGTTGCGCGAATCATTAGAGTTGGTCTTATTCAACATCAAATTGTTTTGCCAGTGACTGCGCCAATATTAAATCAACAAAATGCAATTCATCAGCGAGTATCGGAAATTATTGAAATTGCCGCTCAAGCACAGGTAAATATTTTGTGTTTGCCTGAATTTTGGAGTAAGTTTTGCATCAAATTTGTTTATTATTAACTAAGCATTTTTTTGCATAAAACAGCTATGCCCTACGTGTTTTGCACTCAAGAAAAGCACCCTTGGGTTGAATTTGCAGAAAATGCTGAAAATGGGCCTTCAGTGGAAATGCTGAGAAAATTGGCGCTCAAATTCGGCATGGTTATTATCTCGCCTATTTTTGAGCGTGATGAAAAAGGCCAAAAACTATGGGTTACTGCAGTGGTAACATGCTAGCGTCAGCTGAAACCAGTCAGCATCTTCTAAAGTATCAAAGTTTCTTCCTCAGATAATATCTGAATCTGGCAAAGTAATGGGGAAAACACGCAAAAATCACATTCCTCGCATAAAGGACTTCAATGAGGCTGCCTACTTTGGCGAAGGCACTCTCGGTCATCCAGTGTACGACACAACGTTTGGTAAAATTGCCGTCAACATTTGCTACGAGCGACATCATCCACAGAGCTGGCTAATGTACGGCCTGAACGGGGCTGAGCTAGTCTTCAACCCCAGTGCAAACACCGGCGATGACAGCAGTGAACAGTCGTGGCTGGTGGAGGCACGAGCCGCGGCCATTGCAAACAGTTACTACACCTTTCCGGTGAACAGAGTTGGCACGGTAATGGCTGCTTATAGTTTACAAAACTCAGCTCAACCTAAACCTGTTGTCTAATCGAAGGAAATGATACCACTAAAAAATGGATCACTGAAAAGTTTTGGGTACTACCACGGATCAAGCTATTCAGTGGCACCTGATGGCTCGCGAACGCCTGGTCTTTCGAGGGTGAACGAAGGGCTGCACATTACCGAGTTAGACTTGAATTTGTGCCGACAAGTGGCTGATTCGTCTAATCATAAGGTAGTTAAATCTGCTTTTAATCTAAATTAAATTGACAGTTGTTTTATTTTCAGGCTAATCAACGGCTAGATATGTATGGTCAAAAGTTTTTTGACGCATCTTTAACTGACTTCAAACAACAAATTGTATATGAAATATAAAATTTGATAATCCGTTTGATTTTTNAGATATGTATGGTCAAAAGTTTTTTGACGCATCTTTAACTGACTTCAAACAACAAATTGTATATGAAATATAAAATTTGATAATCCGTTTGATTTTTTGCCAAAAGACGGCGTTTCAATTTTGGCTAAATACAATAAGTAATACTACACGCGTCACTCTGTTATAAAAAAATTTTATTTTTTATCTAAACTGTTCAATTTTAATGTTTTCAAATTTTTAAAAAATAATTGACACAATTGAATCTAACATAAAAACAAAACAAGTTAGAGTTGATATTTGAATAAACGTAAAAACAATATTATTACTGAACATTTTAAATATTTAATAACATTGAAATGCCTATTAATTTAGTAGATGGACAATTGATAAAAAATAAAGAGAAAGGCATCACCAATAAAAGACAATAGCTTGTTGTGATTTCTTGATAACGTCAAACAAACTGTTTTGTCAGCTGAATCAATAAAAAGTTTACTGCTGAGTAATAAAGTAGAAAAACGTTAGGGTAAGTTCAAGTTCAGCTGATTCAAGTTTAAGTTGATGAGGGGCAGAATGACATAATGACTCATTTGACCTCAAATGTTAGCAAATCAAGGGGAAAGAGTTCCACAAAGCCAACACAATTAGCAATGTTTATGTAGTGGTAAAGAAGAATTAATGTGCAGAGGTAGTCAGTGTGTCAGTGAAGATAGGGACAAACATGACAAAACAATAGAATTCCAAGTGCACTCTCTGTTACCTGGCGGCAGCAGCATTTGATCACCAGAACAAAGCACACAAACGGCTGCATCAATGTTGTTGTTTTTACAAAGTTACGACAAAGACCAGTGACAGATGGCAAATTTGTTTGAATCGACCACAATAGCGACTAATTAATTTAACCATTGTGGAAGCTATAGCAACAGGAATGCAAAGAAATTCATCAAAACACTAAAAAATGATAACCTGGTGACCACTAGGGAAAAGCAAAAACATTACTTTAAACCTTTATTTGTCGCCAAATTAATTTAAATAGTTATCAGAAGCATCAATTGAAAAAAAAATTTTAATTGAATTTGAATAATAAACTAATTTAAAACCAATTTGTTGCTAATGTTAAAACAATTGTGTTTTAAAGATTTCAATTAACAAAAACAATCAATCATTTTTAATTGTCGTATTGGTTTATAAGTGTGTTTGATCAGTTGTGTTTTGGAAACGTAGAAAACAATTGAAAAGTGATCACATTTAAGTGCAGATGTACTGTTTATTCTTTTTATTTTTAAGCAATTACATTAAAAATTGAAATTATTTTATATCAATCAAAACTATTAATGTTTACTTGTCAACAAGTCGTTATTGCTAAATTGATTGTTAAATGTGTTCTTGTAAGTTAAAAATTTAAAATTTAAAAAAATTGCAAATAAGTTGTTTAAAAACGTTGTGTAATTTTAAAAAACTTTGCTTAATTAAAGAATTTAATTAATTATAGTTTGTTATAAAAAAATTAAGTTTAAAAATGCATTAAAATTAAACTTACTTTATTCATTTATATCATTTTATTGCTCTAAATTAAAATTAAAATTATTTCAATTTTGCTGAAAAATTTGCAAAATTTTTTTTGGTTTTTTACGCTGTTTAGTAAAAAAATTAAATGCTCAGTTTATTTGTAAGTGCTTAACCGCCGTTTAAATAACTCTAAATTAAATTTAAATTTTTTGTGTTTGTCATAGCTGTTTTTTGCTGATGATGTTGTAAAAGAGTTAAGCAATTCAATTAATTTGTGAAGCAAATGTTGCAGAAAAAAACTGTAAAACGAGTTTATTACCTAGTCCGCATAGCAAAAGACTTCACATTCTGTCGACAACTGAA